CCTATAGTGCAGCCCCTTCCTGTAATGTATGTCTCTACCTGTAATTAGTGGGCTGGCATGCCCCCAAAAGGTATATAGGCATGCGTCAGCAATATAGATCTCTCTCTGACCTCCTTGCTGCTCACTCCCTGGTCACTCCCCTCTCTTCCCCCTCTCCCTTGTTCCCTTGCCGTCCCCTCCTTCCCTTCCCCCTCACTCCACGGTGGACCACCAAGCTGGGCTGAGGTGAGCAATGCTACCATGTAATGTGTCTGACTGCATTATTGTAATATCTCTCATGCTCTCGATGACTTTAATATAATACTTATATATCTCAACCGTACAATTGTGCATTACTGAACCCAATAGTAGTAGTAGTAGCAGCGGTGGTGGCTACTTATTTAATTTAATACTACAGCCTGGGGTCTGTTCCCATGCCCTAAGCCATGACGTGCATCACCACCAGCCTCCTGCTCGAGCCCCCACTCTCCCGGCTGAGCAGGCCAAGCAGCGGCCAGCACAGAGAGAAAGGAGTGAGGGGCTGCTCCCCAGCCTCGCAGGACGCCCGCCCTTCAGGAAACGTCTGCTCCAGGTCACAGGAAGGGGCCTGATGATGGCATGAAAGGTCAAGTGAGAGAAACTTAGGCCCCGGGGTGCAGAGCGCATGCGTCCAATATTCTGGCCAGGAAGCCCATGCCCATGGCCACAGTAGACGCACCTCTGCTGGTGCTGCGTGAGTCCAGTGGCTTATTTTAAGGTAACACTGAGAGAAAGAAATTTTACTCTGGCTGCTAATGCCCCTCTCCACGTGAAAAACCTGCCAAATCTAATCACCTGTCGTTGTGTGCCCCCTGCAGTTAACGCTCCAGTAGACCGCAGCAAACACACCGGTGACACACACCATGTGTTTGTGAGTGATGTCAGGCCTGTGGGGGGAGGACACTAACCTGAGGGTGAGACCGCCACCTGCTGGACGGCGTCCTCAAACTTCTGCCACCGCAGCCCGGCGCCAGGCAGGGCACTGCAGAACAGGCCACCTCTGTAGTCCAGGCACCAGAGGTACTTCTCCGAGACGGCCAGGCTGAGGATGCCGTAGCCGGGGCCCGAGTAGCCCATCCAGCTCTCTGCAAACTGGCAAGGGCAGTGCCGTGAGGTGTGGGCCCGCGCACCTCTCCCCTCCGGTAGAAGTGTCCTGGAACGGGGGCTGTCACCCGCCAAGGACCCATAACATGCCCAGATGACGGTCAGTTCATAGGAACCTCCCCAACGTCTGTGCCAGATCGCCGGAATCCCCAAAAAGGAGCTGGTTGCAGTGCAGGGGTCCCCCCACCCCTTACACAGAGGGGCTGCAGGCACACAGAGACTTTCTGTGCATCCAGTCATGCTGCTTCTCCCCCTTACACGTCTGCAAGCATTGTCCCTCCCTCCTGGGGGACACATGGCACACTGGGGCCAGGGGAGGGTTGGAGTCTCAGCCAGGACACCCTGCTTACTCCAATTTGGCAGCTGGCGTCTTTTAACATTTGAAGCTAAATAACGCTTACTCCTTCTATCATTTCCTAAGTGCCCGAAGAAACCCATGTCTTTGCAGAAATACCACACACAGAAGCTGGCTTCTCTCAAGAGAAGTGTCCACCCCTGCTTGTCCTGTTCCCATTCTCCATGGAGCCTCATCCACCCCTTAGAAAGCTCATAAACCCTCCTGGCTTTCTTGTTTCCTGAGGGTGGAGAGGCAAGGACTCTGTTAGAGACCCTCAAAGGTCCAGGATCCCTCCCACCGACATCTCTGGCCTAGAATCCCCATCCTGTCCCTCAGTGAGCACTGTTTCTGGGAGATGCCCTCGAGTCCCCAGGCCTGCGGCTGTTCACTACCATGGCCCCAACAACAGTCCTGGCCTCCCCGTGGGGCTGGAATGCAGTGGTTACATCACTGTGGTGAGCACGGGCCATGCAGAGCCTGGCAGGCAAGACAGGCCCAGGGCCACCATTACAGCCTCCCTCCAGCTTCCTCTTGGAGGCAGGACAGCCTAAGACTGGGGTGGGGGCCGGGGTGGGGGAGGCAGCCCTGGGGCAGTCCTTCACTGCTGGTGAGTGACCTTATACAACCTTTGGCTTTCTGAGCCCCCCGGGACCTCTCCAATGGCTTGTTGTTTACCAGAGGCCAGTGGCCTACTGGTGCAGAGGGAGGGGTCCGCATCAGGGATGTCACCGTCAGGGCATACGCACCAGAGTCCCAGCATTCCCTCTGTGTGGAGTAGCAGGAAAGGCTGTGAGACTCGCCAGGGTGGCAAGCAACGTGATCGTCTCTCACGGCCCACCCTCCCATCCTGGGAGTCACCCCGATCAGGGAGTCACCAACTCATGGCAGGGCTGGGTGCCCGAGGCAGGTGGAGGAGGCAGTGGACAGTACAGCACCAGGTCTTGCCTAGGGCACTGACTGAGAAGGGAGCGGGGAAATCCCTGTCTCCCAGCTGCCTGCATGACCGACCCACTGGTCACAGTCCTGTGAGGACACACATGGGGGACTGGCCAGGCCCTGCATGTGCCGAGGGAATGGCTTCCCAGGAGACAGGGAGCTCAAGGTGGGGCCTAAAGAGATCCTCCGAAGCCCAGAGTTGGAGAACAGGAGCCTTCTGCAGAAGGGAAAGAAAGGCCCACAGCACTGCCCATGTCTGCTCCCACATACCTGATCAGCCTTCAGCAGCCCGGCAGTGTCTGCAGCTGGCCGGCCCAGATCCAGCAGTGAGCGGCTGCCTCCGAGCTCTGCTGCGCCAGCCTCCGAGGACGGCGAGGGAAGCCCGTGGGCATAGATGTCCTCCTCGTCACTGGACGAGGACACTTGCTCTCGTGATGGCTGCCGGAGCGCAGGCCCGTGGACACTGGTGGCTGCAGCTGAGACTGCGGGCTCCAGCTCTCCTCCCCTGCTCCCCCAGTCACACTGCAAACTGGCCACCTGGCTCCGACTTGTGTCATCCCCAGGACCGTCAAGCCAGGGACTCGGGCCCGGGAAGAAGCGCTGCTCCCAGTTGGGCTCCGTGGAGGGGCCCCAGTTGGCCCTCGGGTCAGGCAGCAGCAGCTCTGCTCCTGAGGTCACACAAAGGCTGGATGGCAAAGCGAGAGGGTCCAGAAGGGGGTCTTCAGAAGGCATGCTCGGGGGGCCACTGGGCTCCACGTCCCCCGTCTCGTGTGATCGGGCTGAGCTGTCCTGCTCTTGGAAGGGTGGCTGCTTGAGGCTGGGCCTGACCTCTGTAGGACCTCGCTCCTCTCCGGGCTCTGTGTCCACATCGTCCCCCAGGAGCAGGGGGGCACCACACCCTCCTTGCAGCAGGTCCTCGCCTCCCGCAGGGTCACACTGTGGGACTTCCGTTCTGTCCTTGGCCTCCTTTCCCAGGGCGTCGGGGGTGGCCCCAGGGGCCTCCAGCACACCAAACGTCTCTGAGCTGTTGCTCGCTGGCAGGCCGCTGCTCAGCCCGCCCCAGAGGCTGCTCTCTGGGTCGGGGGACGCTGCGCTCAGTAGGTCCACATTGCTGCCTAGGACACTGGAGGTGACAGACAGCAAGTCCGAGGTTAGCGACGGGGGGCTCCCACCGGGAAACTCGCAGCAGGGTGTCGACTCCAGGGAGCTGTGGTGGGTGCTGCTGCTCCCACTTTCTGGGGTGAAAGACAAAGGCACAGTAAGGCAGGAGGCTCCCTCAGTGAGAAGGGGTCAAAGCCCAACTCGACGGCAGTGGGGCCATTTGGAAGGTAAGATCCAGGAGAGCCAGAGCCCTACATGAAGGACATGGAGTGGGTGAAGGGGAGCCCCTGAAATATACAAGGACCAGACACAGCCAGGGGCAGGGGCCACCCAGAGAATGTGAGCTGTGGGATCAGCAGCAGAACTGGTGTCCAGAGGGGTTCACAGGCCAGCTGCCCTGATTAAGATGCTTAGGAACCCCATGAGACTGTCCGCCAGCTAATCCAGAGAACCCGCTGCTGCAGGGCGCTCCCAACTCAGTGGCCCCCCCCCCCGGGGTAAAATCGGAGTGCCCAGCGCTCTCCAGGGTGGCAGGCCCATGCTTCACCAACTGAGCCTCCGGGCGGGCTGCTGTTAGCTACAGAGGTTTGGTGGGTACAAGGCGTGACAGTTAAGCCCTTCTCTGTGAAGTGCTAATATTCCAGACACTCTGCCCAGAGAGGAGTATAAGTTTTCTCCCACATCCGTGACTTTCCACCCGTGTTCACAGAACGTCCGGTTGGCTATTTGAAGAAGGGTGCTCACTCCAGTAACCCTCTTCGGCTGGCTCACTTCCCAAACTTTCCCTGCTCTCTGAGGGAAGGGCACACTCGCTTCTAGAAGCCTCCTCAGCTTCGTGAAGAGGGGGGCGGCGCTCACTCCTGGACCCCTCTGCTGAGGGTTGGGAGGAGGGGGCTTCCTTCTGGAACTCCCCTCTGCTCTCTGAGGAAGGTGCACACTCACTTGTGGATCTGCCCTCTGTCCTCTGAGGGAGGGGCGCTAACTTCAGGAAACTTCCCCTCTCCCTGAGGTGGGGGACAGACTCACTCCCAGAGCCTTCCTCAGCTCTGAATGGGGCGGGGGTGTGTGTGTGCACTCAATCAGCACGAGGCACTGCTGCTGGCTCAGGGAGACATTGTGTGTGCGTGTGCGTGTGCGTGTGCGTGTGTGTACTCAGTCAGCGAGAGGCACTGCTGCTGGCTCAGGGAGACACTTGGGACCCAGAGTGGGAGCTGGGCAGCCTGTGTGTTGCCCGACCTGGCTTCCTCCTCTTCTTCCTCTTCTTCACCTTGATGGGCTTCACCACAAGCTCCTGGTCAAAGTCTTCCGAGCTGATGAGGCTGAATCTCTGTGAGGGGGGCTGGCTGCCCGGCCTAGGCTCGGGGGCGGGGTGGGGGCCGGGAGGCAGCAGGAGCCCGGAGCCACTATCCGTGGAGTTGAGCGAGCTGCTCCGGCTCCGGGGCTCGCTGGCCACAGAGCTGGCCACTGAGCAGCCTCGGCGCCGCACCTCAGAGCCGGGGGCCCCCGGCGGCTTCTCCAAGAGCTCCGCATGGACTCGCTCGGCACACGCTGGTATTTCCAGACCTGAGGAAGAAGAGCCGGGTTAGGACAAACTACCCAAGGGGAAGCGGACACTCGGTCAGCCTGGCCCCCAGCCCTGGCCGTCAGAGGGGACTAAAGGCTCCCTCTGTTAAGAGATGAGCAGGTCTGACTGCAGAGACATTGGCAAAATAGAGTCACAAGCCGGAACGCATGCAGACAGCACAAAAGATCCCTCAGAATGGTCTCTGTTCTCCAGGAAGTCCGTGTCAACACCAGAAAGACAGCAGGGTGACCGCAGTCTTCCGTAGGTGACTCGATAGCCAGTGCGGAGCCCACACCTGGCTCACACGCTTCCTCAAGGAGCAGGCGCAGGTCCACATCGCGGGGCTCACCCAGGGGAGGGAGCACGCTCACACCCGTTGGTCCTGACTGTGGCGAACCTCTGTGTACAACAGCACCACACACCGGCCACCCCCGCAGTTGCTGCTATTTGCCATGCCTCCAAGAGCGCAGAGAAAGATGTGCATGTTTGTCGTTCAGTCTCGTGGAAAGGTAACGTTCCGCTGGAATCCACTCAGGATGGAGAAGTTCATTACCGTAATGAAGTCGCAGACACGACACTAGGAGGCTGCCACGGCAGTCTGGTTCCAGCCACAGTGCCCTGCACACAGCACCTCAGACCATGGAGTCCGCCGGCACCCAAACACCGTTCCACGCCTGGGGACGTGACCATGGGCACGCAGACAAGAACTTTTGGCACCGGCGCCGACAGAGGGCAGCAGGCCCCTGGTGGGACTAAGCAGAGTGCGGGCTAAAGAGCACGCACGCTCACAGCAGGCTGGCTGGCCACCATGAGCCATGCCAACCACTGCCTTCCGGTCACTGCCCCTCAGAGACCGTGTAAGACGGGATGGAACTCTCAGAGAAAGGGTGCTCAGGCTGAAAATCTTTTACCGGGGCGGGGGAGGTGAGGCTGTCTATTCGTGGACGGACTGACAGTCTTGGAAGCCCAGAGGGACAGTTCGACTCTGCCCCACGGGGTTGCTGGGTCCAAATAGGCTCTACAGCCATGAGTTTGTTGAGACTTTCTGAAAACCCTTACAGACGCAGACACCTCACCTTCCTCCCAGAATGGCTGACAGGCTCGAACCAGCGGCTTTTCAGGAGCAGCCCACGGTGCTACCAGGACTCCTCCTATGTGATGTGACTCTTCACACAAAGTCGTCAAAATTTAAACTCTGCGCCTCAGTTACACCAGCCCCATTCCAAAGGTTCAAAAGCCACAGGGGGCTCGTGGTCCCCTCCTGCCAGCAGGGAGAGACAGCACCTTCCACGTCAGCGGTTCTGCTGGACATCACTGGCCTAGGGCTTGGCCTCTGAGCACCATGTCCATATTCTTTCTGGGAGCCACGCTGGCCCTTGGTGGCAGGATTTTAGGGGTTGTAGGGGTCATCCTGGTTCACAAGCCCAAGAGCTCATTTACTGCCTAAAGCAATGATGGGTTTGGAATGCTATCTATCCCGACTTTCCTTCCGTGGCCATCTCTTTCCCGGGATTCGGAATGGATGCTCCTAGTTCTTGGGACTGGTCCTCTGGGGATGGGAGCAGCTTCAGAAACGCTGCCAAATCCATCAGGTCTCCTCTCACGCATGTCACAGCTAGGAGAGCCCCAACGAATGGGGAGACTGTCCTCTGTCTCTTTATTGACCACTCTTTCGGTGGTCTGGCACTGCAAGAAGACTGGAGGCTGTGGACACCTCATGTCAAGCCTCACGGAAGACGTGGCACCCCCGCCCGCCCCTCAGTCTTCTTCCTCTGTCTCTGGCTCCCAGTGGGCCTCGGGGCTTGCAGTCAACCCATCCACACTGCGCAGGCTCTGCTCTCTCTCTGCAGCCAGTGGGCACTGGCCAGAGCAGAAGCAATGCTAAGGTGCCCCTGACAGTGGCCATGGGTCTTAGGGTCAACCTGTATGATCCCAGCCCCGGGAGGCAGATGGTACAGAGGCTGAAAGAGAAACCTGGAGATGGGCCAGTGACTTGGGACTCACTCCTCACCGCTTATGGGCAGGCACTGACTGTGGGCCTTCACTGCCCAGGAGCTGCGGGGGCCATGGAGGCCAGTCACACCAACGCAGTGCGGGGAGGTAGCCAGGAAGTCAGAGTAAACCAATCACAACAATTAACAAGGCTGATGGACACTTGGGGCAGTAAGGAGAGACGGGCTCATTGGGTAGGGGTCAGCATGTGCAAATACAGTCCAGAGCTTTGCCAGCACGTGGGTGGAGTCGTGGAGCTGCATACTGAGGGTGCCCGGCCTGTGAGCTGCTGCAGAATGGCCCTGCCACCCATCATGGGAGGAAGACGGCCTGGCAGGGAGACCGATCTTGAGATGCCTAGATGTCCTGTCCCAGGAGTCCAACAGGATGCCTGCAAGATCTCCTTGCAAACTCTTGGGGCTACATTAACACGGGGTCCCAGGGCCAGGCCACCTGTTCCATGGTGGTAGTGCCCTCGGCCCCACCTCCCACCTTTATCCCTGGCATGAGTGACTTCCTGGTGGGGCTGGTCTCACATGAGGAGACTGTGAACGCTCCGTGTTTAGCCCAGTCTCTGGTATAGAATAAGCACAGGCTAAGCGACAAAAGTGTCTGCTGCCACCGTCAGGAACAAGCCTTGAAATGAGGCCACATCCAAGGAAAGTACTGGAAACATGACTGTGAGCCCCACAGGGCCTCCCAAAGCCTCCCTGGTTAAGTACAGCTGCAGGGACACACAGTGAGCAGAACAAGGGGAGACGCGCTGGCCTAGAGCTGAGTTCTGGTCTCCTGGGTGCGACAGTCATTCTACGACAGGTACCAACCTCCAGACGCAGAGCCTTCGGGCCTGCTGGAGATCCGGATGATGTTCCTGTCTCCCTTTAAAAGGAAGATCTCATTTGCCGTGCAGGAAACAGACACGATATCGCCAGCCCCTTCCAAACCGGCAATTGTGACCTGCCAAGAGAAAATCAGTGAGCTGGGCAGTGTCTGTCAGCAGTGGCCTGAAGAGATGCATGCGTGAAAACCCCAAAGAGTTATGCGTCAAGTAAATGGTTATTATGAAAGAAAGGCATCTCCCCTACTGCTAGGCCATCTGGGAATCGTGTCCCTACTCTTTCCGTCCCTTTGTGAAATGGACTCCAGGGATGCTGGCAGGCCAGGCCTGAGACCGCTGCTCCCTGCCCTCTGTCCTTGCCTCAGGTGCTCCTGCACCCCACAGCTATAACTCTGCAAGGCACTGTCCCCTCTGCCCGACTTCATCCCCGACCCCTGTTGCAGCCTTCTCCAGATGCCGCCTGGGTGGGGAGTTTCAAGGCCCACAGTTGGTTTGGGCACTCACCAGCCCCACACACGAGGTGCTGGGGGAGGGAGCCCATCCGTCAGGACCGTGCGCAAAATAAGCAAATATGAAAGATGCCACCGGCCTTGGGCTCTCAGAGGGCAACTAGAGTGACTTCAGGGCAGGTCCGGCTCCTTGCCCTACAGGAGAGCCGATCCTGCAGGCCGTTTCCGGCTCTGAGGACTCCACAATGGAGGGACAGTCTCCTAGCACCATCTGACCACTAATGGCCAGAGGGGCAGAGGTCAGCCAGATACGTGCATTCAAAAAGCTCTTGCTTTTGACAGTGCAAAGAAGAAGTCATTTCGTGGTCACAGATGGAGTCTCCGATCCTTGTGTATGCTAAAGAATCCTGCTGTCCACCTAGAAAGGTGACCTGTGTTTCTGGAACAGCCAGTCTCATGGGCTCTGATCCGGAAAGACCTATAATTCTTTGGAGTCTCTCTGTCTCAGTTTTTCTACCTATAACATGAAGGTAATTACACCTGCTGGGTGGATGAAAAGAACCAATGGTTAAGGGCACTGCCTTAATCAGAGAGTGCACGTTCAAAAGGAGCCAAGGAAGGGTGAAAGGTCAGGCCACTGTGCCTGGGGATGAGGGCCAGAGTGTCTTTCACAATGTCCCTTAACAACAGAAACAAGCTCGGAGCCTCACAGCACCTGACTCTCCCATCTCACAGATCAACACCCCGTGTCCCCCTTCTCCTAGATCAGGAAATCAAGTTCAGGCCAACGGGAGATGCCTGGTGGCACAGTGGTTAAAGTGAGGGCCTGCTGGCTGACAGACTGGTTGTTGAAACTCGTCAGCTGCTTGGCAGGAGAAAGACTTGAACAAGTGGGAGCCTCAGACCCTACGGGCAGTGCTCCTGTGTCCTGCAGGGTGGCTGAGTCCGAACTGACGTCATAGCACACAATGACCACTATTGAAGGCAGAAGCGGGGTAGCTTTTTTTCCTGCCAAATTGGCATCATCAGGCATGGCTGACCCCCATAATGAAGAGGCCTCCAATGAGGAGGAGCTGAAGGAGACCAGAGACTCCAATGGTTGCCATCTCTGAGGACAAGGGCCCGCCAGAGACCTGCTGGCCTGGAGGAGGAGGAGCAGACACTGGCTGCACCTGGGCTCAGGTGTGTGAGGCAGAGGGGTCCTTTTAGGTATGCTCTTTTTTTTTTTCCAGTACATAAATTAAAAAATTTATTTTTAAATAGTTTGAAGGTCTGCTCTTAAGACAAGAGAAAACTGAAATGAAATGAGTGTATTTAAACGTTCCTAAGTCCTTCTCTGGGGTAATCTGCTTTCACCCCGATTTCAACAGGAACCATTTCCCACGGGGATTTTATGAGGCTGGGCAGCGGTCTCAGATCTTATCACCAAGTAAAGAACCCTTGGTAAAAACAAGTGACAAGACAGCCTAGCTCCACCTCTCAATGCCACCAAGGCGATTCAGACTCTGAGTGACCATGGAGGGTAGAGTGGAACTGCCCCTGTGGTTTCCAAGGTTGTGGTATTTATGAGAACAGAAGCCTCGTCTTTCTTTCTCTGTGCGCTGGTAGATTAGAACTGCTAACCTTGCTGTTAGCAGTCCGATACATAAACCACTAGGCCACCAGGGCTCTTTAACGTGACTCCATACGAGTCAGAAAACCAGCACCAGAAAGAAGACCATGGGGGGTGGGGAGGTAGGGGGTAGACAGCAAGAATATGATCCAGGTAGATTTAAAAAGACCAGTTTAATTTGGTGGTTAAATTAATCACACGCATCATCATCATCATTTCTTGGCAGGAGTAGGCTATGAATATCAAAACAAAGTATTTTGTTGTGTGTTGCCAAGTCAATTCTGACCTACGGTGACCCCAAGTAACAGAGTCCGGCTGCAGTGCCACCAGGGGCGCCTGTCATTGCCCGTGGGTGCTGACTCATGGACTTGCTCTCGGTGACCTCTGGGACCAAGTGTAGCTCCTTGGTCCCAGGAGCAGACCACCACAGGAGCTTTGGGTTAGCGGCTGAGTGTCGATCCTGCATCGCCAGCGCTCTTGGACAAACACGACCAAAGCTTCGTTTGATGGCACGATGGGCCCGCAGGAAAAGGCGCACCTGAGCAGCAGGCCTGCCCTGTCTCACACCCCTAGACAGTAGGGGGCGGAGCCACCGCTGTGCTTACCTGGTTGATGGTGTCCAGAAGATAGATGCTATATTCATTCCAGCTCAACACCCAGCCTTCTCGAAAGAAGCAGGAGACCAGCCCCAGGTGCTTCTCAGGCGCACTGCAGCCGCCCTGGTCAGCGGGCTCCAGGCGAGGGTACAGCTCGAAAGGATTGACGCCCCCAGCAAAAACATCTTTCAGGATGAACGTGGCCTGGACAGTGCCCTGGACATCGGCCTTCCACAGCCGTAGGCCGGGCCTCGAGGCATAGAGCGTCAGGTCGCTTTGCTTGCAGAGTCCGGGTATAAAACAAGCCCCAAACTTCCCAGCCCTGCCATGTGGGAGGGAAGCAGACAGGGAGATGGATGTGATGGAGACATGGAATCACCCAGGAAGCGCTGAGACTAAGGCTAAGCGAGACTGACCAGCCCCCACCCCTTTCTTTTGTGCTCATTGAACCCCGGCCCCCAGGGGCTGTAAGCGCTAAGTGCACTGGGCTGTGAACTCAAAGGTTAATTTTAACAAGCAGGTTCAAGGTGACCCACAGGTGCCTTGGAAATAGACAATCTACGTCCACAGAGTCAGTGACGGGGAACCCTGCAGCACACATTCTAGCTGCACACTTGGGTAGGTAGCCCAGGTACCGATTGGAGCCTCCCTGGGCCCACAGGACAAGGGCACTCGCTGTCCCAGGATCCCACCACCTGGGGCTCCTGCAGCACATACCATGGAGTGAGCCCCCTCGCAACTCTCACACACCCTGCTCCATTTTCCCCACAGCCCTTTGCAGGGGCCTGCACAGTCTCTTGCTTCTGGACGGTCTGTACTGTCCCAAGGGTCCTGAGGACAGGGACTGGTCTCCTGGTCTGTCCTCCCAACCCCTGCTGTGCCGCTGTGAATGGTGTGCAAGCGAGGCAGCAGCGCAACCCGCTGCATGTGTGTGGTGCGTGAGGTATCGATCGCTTCCCGGGGACGAACACAGTTGGAAGTTGCCCACCACAGAGAAACAAGCCTTCCTGCCACATGAGGTTAGACAAGCCCATTTCCTTGCAGTGCTATTGTCCCTCTCCTGTTCATTAACACGTGTTGCACCCCCTCCCAGAGAAGACACACACTGATGCTCTGCTACAATGGTCAGGGCCTGGCTCAGGATGCTCCCAGTCAAAGTCACCAAATGACTCGGCGGCTCTTACACCGCATGACAGAATCGCAGTGGTCCGATCCTGTGCACGAGGAGCTAGGAGGCCCTGTTTGATGAGAAAGACTGCTGGAACCACGTGGCAGGTCACCGAGTTGTAAACCTCGCTGTACACTCTGCCTTCTTCCCAAACAGCAAACACGCTGGGCTCGTACCCAAAGACTGGACGTTTGAGGCTTCTAGAAGGGCCCGAGAGGAAGGCTTGGGGAATCTACTTCCCAAACCAGCCCCTGGAAGCCCGGTCGACCTGGTTCTGCTCTGCTACTCGCGGTCACCGTGAGGTGGTCCTTCGAGAGGAGGACAGTGAGTGCCGACGATGGGGGACAAGGCAGCAGGAGCGTAGGCTGCCAAAGTCAGCCCAGATGTCAGCAGTCCCTACGCCAGACTCCACCCACTGCTGAGGGTCAGAGTCAAATCGGGAGATTCGGGATGGGGTCTGTCTAGAGAGCATCTATACGAGCTATAGGGTCCAGAGGACTCCGTCCCACTGTACTCCCAGGACGGGGAGGGGGTGGGGGTGAGGGCTGCAGCTGCAGGGTTGGCCACTGGACCTCACCAACTCCTCCTGGACCAGTGACCGATGGGCTCTGCCAGCCTCGGCCCCTTCCCCCACCTGACACAGATGGGCACCACGGCCTCAGCCTTCAACTGGACACCCCCACCCGATATAGACAGGCACCGCTGCCGCCTGCCCACCCATCCGCCCGCCAGACTGGCACCACCAATCCCAGGTGCCCTCACCCACACCTGCTTCTCCTCGTGCTCCCAACTCCATGGCCCCGGCTTCACCCCCTCTCCACGCTCAGCACCCTTTTGTGCACTCACCCCGATTCCATGAGCAGTACTGCCGCTTCAGAGGGCGATGCAGATGGAATCCCGGCAGCATCTCGCCCATGCCAAGGACTGCCTCTGCTCCCTGACCCACCCCTGCTCAGGTTGTGGGGGTCTGACTGCTCCCCTCAATCAACCCCACTCTCGACCTTGCTACAGAATCCCACATGCACATTTTTGGGGTACCGTGGGGGGCGCTGTGAATCTGCCTCTTCCCATGGGACTGTAGAACCTACCCTTCCCCTTGACTGGCCTTCCTCTAGCTGGTGGGTCAAAGAAGGGCCTTCTCCCCTTCTGGACCTCCTTCCCATTCTCTAGGCTGATTCCACAAACGCCTGGGGCCCCACAGATTCGGGAGGTCCTCCTGCCCCCGCCCCCGCCCCTGCCAATGTGTGGCAGCCTGCCTGCAGCAAGTACAACCATGACCGTTCTCGGGGCGGAGTTTCTGGCACGTCTCCACAGGGCAGGTCTGGTTCTCCTTGAGGCCAACCACCACACGTGGGTGTGAGGGCACCCAGTGCACAGGGCAATGAATACCATGATGCCCAGAGCATATGGGAACCTGGTGCCCAAGCACCACAATGCCCGTGGGGGTCAGAGTGGCCTGAGCCGACCAGTGCACAGAGGCACCCAGTCGCCACTAGCTGCTCAAAGCATGAGCCCTGTGGGATTTCAGTGGAGGGAGCGCCTGCACAAGGAGAGGACACAGGCCGGCTCCCCTCCGAGGCCAAGCCTGGCGCATCTCTAGGTTCCAGAGGCTCTCCTCAACAGGTGGGCCTCTCTCTGCACACCTCTTCTGTCTTGGGGGAGTGGGGAAAGCAGTGCCCTAGGCAGGTGTAGACCCTAGACTCAGCACCGCTGGGGCTCCTAGCGCCTGGGTAGCCTGAGCCTGCCCTCAGACCCAGTTGGGACAGACCACGGAACCTACGTCTTCCTTGGCTGGGCCCCGATCTGCTTGACAGCCTTCTCTTCGGTGTAGAAGAGCAGGCTTCTCTGCAGCGTGGAGACGAGCAGCACCTTCTGGCTGTAGTCGAGCTGCACGATGGACGAGGGCTCCTCCAGCACCAACTGGGAGTCGCAGACGCCCTGTGGGGGAGAAGGCCTGCCTCGAGCACCCTGCTCTTTGAGCAGGGACACCGGCAACTCGAAAGGTGAGATGAGAAGCTGGGGGAGCACCCGGCAGTGCCTTTGTGCTAAGGAAGGAGAACAAGTGTGGAAGAGGATTTTGAGAAAGGCGGAACAGCGGGAGGATGCCCCTAATGTCACTGAGCTGCTCAGGTAGGCACGACTCAAGCGGCAGGTAGTTTTTCTGCGTGTATTTCTGTCACCCAGAAGGATGTCTTTGACAAAGCAGAAAAGCAAGAATGTTAGGAAAGCCTGCCTCCTGGGAACACATCTCCAGCATTATTCTGCAGGACACAGTAACAGGAGCCGGGGGTATGCCGGTAAGCTTCTGTGTGCTCATCCGAGCTGGGCACGGCTCCAGTTGTTTTCCACAAACATCATCTTTTACTGGAAATGCTCTAATTGCGCAAAGTCGGGTCTGTGTCCCTTCAAGGAAAGCGTGCCATGGTATTTGCTGTCTATGAGCAAATGGATGCTTTGCATGAAGATGACAATTTTGGAGACTTGCATCTGGCCCCGTGAGCCTGACAGCGCCCCAACAGCTAAGGACGCTCACACCACAGAGACGGCAACATCAGCAAAGGTGGTTTCCGGGAGCTACACAATACACACTTGGGAGACCGCATCACTCTGTGAACCAGTAAGTTCCAAGTGACCTGAACATACAGGAAGTTACAAAACCACTGTGGGCAGGACTCCTTCCAAGAGTAAGGCAGAGGGCAGAGTCCATCGGAAGCTTGCCAACTTACTACTGCAGCTAACCTTCAGAGAAACCACCGCTTGTCAGGTTTAGGGGCTATCACCGAAGGATGAGTACCTGGAAAGGTCATTAAAGCATTCCTCCCCACTCCAACCACACGGGGGCCAGATTTGCTTTACAGCAGGGGTCCTCAAACTTTTTAAACAGGGGGCCAGTTCACTGTCCCTCAGACCCATTGGAGGGCCGGACTATAGTTTAAAAAAAAAACTACGAACAAATTCCTATGCACACTGCACATATCTTA